TAAAAATCCCTGGTGGTCCGAGTGGATTGGGGGGTAAAGTACTTTATTATTAGGGTACGCCTCTTCTGTTTGCAGTCTTTAATGACATCACCCGCGTGGTCCAGCAAAGCATTTCTTTTGTATGTTGTAGGCTGGCTGTGTGTAGTGTGTATGTACCATTTGTGTTTGTTAGCTGGGTGTAGTGTGTGGTAATGGTAATCTGTTTATTACCATACTGGTACTTATTCCCTCCCTTCCTGCTTACTTGTCTACAGCAGGTAGGCAGGTAAGCTCTCTGGTGGAGTAAGGGTTAAAAATCCCTGGTGGTCCGAGTGGATTGGGGGGTAAAGTACTTTATTATTAGGGTACGCCTCTTCTGTTTGCAGTCTTTAATGACATCACCCGCGTGGTCCAGCAAAGCATTTCTTTTTTGGCAGCCGCCACAACCCAGCGCTGCTGCTCCAGGTGGCCTCAGAGGGAGGTGCGGAGCCCATGGCACACTGCACAACGCCCCCCTGGATGTCCGCCAAGAGCTGCGCCCGACCCCTCTCGGATCGCCCCGGGACTGGTGAGCCCGGAAGATGCAGCTTCTACTCTGGCTCCCCACAGCCTTACCTGCTTCTCCTTCCTTCCTGTTAGGAGAAACTTTGGCGCAGAGCAGCAGCTCCCTCCCCTGAGGGCTGCACTGTGCTGTTGGGAGCACGGGAGAGTCCAGAGATGCAAGTTCTCCAGCACTCAGTGTCAGAGCAAAGTGCAAAGAGCAGACCCGCAGCAGCTCCTTGGTTTGCTAAAACGGAGCAGGGGGGAGGAACTGCGCACCACCCATTCCCCGGGCCTCCAACTTTGCAAACCAGCCGCTGTCCTGAGTGTGCTGTGCCTGGAGGAGGAAGAGTTAAGCGCCGGTGTGTGTGTGTGCGTGCGCGCGCACGCGCGTGCCTTTGTGTGGTTTTTATTCTGTTCCCCCCACCCCCCACCCCGGTGAGGGGATCAGCCTCCAAAGGCTGCACTGTGCTGTTGGGAGAGTCCATGGACCCGCGTTCTCCAGCAGCCTCACGGGAACAGCGCAGTGCGATGCGTGATGCTCACCTCTCCGGACTGCACAGTCCCTCAGCCCAGGCAAAGTCAGAAGCTCAGTGCGGAGGGAGGTGCCCCGCTCTGCCCAGGAGCTCCTGGCTTTCCTGTTCCAAACCTGCCTCGCTCTCGGTGAGGTTCTCAAAATCACAAATCTCAAAAATCTCAAAAGTGGCAGGGGAGGAATACTGCACAAACACACACGTGCGCGCACACACACAGACCAGCGCTTAACTCTTCCTCCTCCAGGTGCAGTGCACTTGGGACAGTGGCTGGTTTGCAAAGTCAGAGGCCCGGGGAATGGGTGGCACGCGGCTCCCTTCCCCACCATTTTAGCAAACCAAGGAGCCGCTTCGGATCTGCTCTTTGCGCTTTGCTCTGACACTGAGTGCTGGAGAACTCGCATCTCCAGACTCTCCCACGCGCCCAACAGCATGGTGCAGCCTTCGGAGGAGCACCGATCCCCTTGCCAGGGCAGCACGGCACAGCACGGCACGGCACGGCTCTGCGCCTCCCTCTGCAGCCATCTGGAGCAGCAGCGCTGGGTTGCAGCGGCTGCCAAAACAGAAATGCTCTCCTGGCCACCAGCGCTTTGCCCTGCCTCTTGAGGTGAGAAGCCACAGGGCATACCGGCGTATAACACACAGCTAGGATTTCAGCCCCAAATTTTAGGAAAAAAGTGCATGTTATACAGCGATAAATACGGTACTTAAACTGAGTCAGGCTGTTGGTCTGCTTAGCCCAGCACTGCTTTCCAGGGTTTTTAAAGTTGTTCTTATTTTATTTTAGAAGAGTTTTAGTGAAGCCTTTTTTGTCCTTATCTGGACTTACTAGTTGAGTTTGAAATCTTTTGCGTGGAAATATGCCCTTTCATGGAGTCTGTGTGTGTGTGTGTGTATACCTTTGAGTCAGTGTTGATTCCTGGCAACTGCCTGGACAAGTCTCTGCAGTTTTTTGGCAAGATTTCAGAAGTGGGTTTCCCCTGCCTTTTTCCTAGGGCAGAGAGAGAGTGACTGGCCCAAGGTCACCCAGCTGGCTTTGTGCCTCAGGCAGGACTAGAACTCACAGCCTCTAGGTTTCCTCATTCAAATATCACATGTGGCCCCCACAGGGTCCTATACCAACAAATTTCAATCCTAGAACCACTTACTGGAAGAAGGTTCATTGTGGCTTTCTACTCAGTGAGTGGATACAGGTTCTTGTGTGTACCTGCAATCTGATACCTATTGAAATGGAGGGAACATAGCAGGATTTACTTCTGAATAAACATTACTGTAAGAAATATTGGAATAACCAGAACTACACCAATTAGTGTTTTAAGCAAAGTTTATTAGTTTTCAAACTATAATCACAGTTTGTAGTTACAGCTACAATTTCCTCACTCATGTTGTTGTTGTTCAGTCATTAAGTCGGGTCCGACTCTTCGTGACCCCATGAACCATATTGCGCCAGGTCTTCCTGTCCTTTACTACCTCCCTGAGTTTGCTCAGTTTCATGCTCATTGCTTCGGTGATGCTATCTAACCATCTCAT